AGGACGGATAACGATAATCAGAGACTGAGCCCATTGTAGCTTGTGCTTGGCGCGTGAACACAAAGCGTATTGTATTAACAGTCCATATATTGGGCTAATTGGAGCAATAAAGATGGAACGGCACGTAACCGCATCGGTGGGATTGTCGTTACCTGGCGGCTCTCCGAAAAGGGACCCTCTTCAGGACAGGACTTGGCACTTCATCAAATCATCAAACGGTTTGGGTTGGAAGGGATCTTAAACATCACCCGGTTCCAACCCCCCGCCACGGGCAGGGACACCCCCCCAGGAGGCTGCTCCGACCCGGCCAGCCTGGCCTTGGGCACTGCCAGCGAGGGGCTGCCACAGCTTCCCTGGGCACCCCGGGCCAGGGTCTCACCACCCTCGGAGCAAACTTCTTGCTGAACTCCATGACGTTCCTGTCAGCCCATTTCTCCATCGAGATGAGGTCCCTCCGGATGGCAGCAGGTCCCGGTGGTGCACGAGCCACTCCTCCCCCTTGGGTGTCACTACAAACTTGCTGAGGGTGGATGCTGTCCCATCATCCACAAATCAAGAAACCATCTCCTCAAGCTAGAAGATCTGCACTTCAAGAAGCAGCGTTTGACCTTTAGAAGTGCATTTGGCTGTTCACAACTGTGCAGTAAGGCTGCTCTTAATAAAGTCCACACACTGCAATTCCTTAAAAGAATAGTAAAATGATCATCTATAAATTTATTCTTCGTCCAGAGAGGCTCAGATTAACGTGCTTGAGAAAAAGAAACACTCTGTCTCAGAACTTAAGTACAAATTTTTGCTTAAACATAAGCAGAAGCTAATTCCCAAGTATAAAGTGCACCTTTTATAGCAGGTTCAAAACAAACCCCAGCAACAACACAACAGAATTGCATTATTCTGAACAATACTTGATTTATGCAGACAGGGGAGACAAATACCTTTACTCTACGCGGTTGTTTCTTGAAGCATAAGAAGCCCTTTCAAAGCTTCTAAAGAGGTCACAACCCCTTCTCGCAGTTACCTGGCACTCCTGCGGATCCAAAGCACCGCTAAGACACGAGCAGCAGCGGCTGCGTCGCCTTCGGACCTGGGAGCGCAGGTATGCAGGGAAGCAGCAGAGCACAGAACGACTTCTGGTTATTCCAACAACCGAATTCGGAGTAAATCCATGGGTATGCATCCTCCTTTTCCCTGCCCAACAGCCCTCAGTCCCCGCGCCAGGACGGGCAGAGGAAACACAGGCAGGTACGAGCGGGGCTCTGCAGCTCTCTCAGCGATTTCCCGGGCTCAGTTATCAGAAACTCCCCTGGTCACCCAGGCTCGGCTCTCAAAACTGAATGCGGAACTTTGCCCCCTCCCCACCTCTGACCTGAAAACCCAAAGCTCAGTCCTACTGCTGAGCGTTACTGAACCTTTTGGGTTGCATTTTTAGTTTTGAGGGTAGGCTTCTGCAAGCTTTTAGGTTTTTATTAATGAAAGCAGCCTTCCTCTTAGACCTGAGTAAAAGACAGAGGAAAAAGGTATTCCTCATGCACGTTTTCAACCGGACAGACATCGAGTAACATTCACTTTAGCACTGCCAGTTAGGGAGAAATTAAGAGCAAGGGGGAGAAAAATTACACAGGAAAACAATCAGAGATCCAGGAGAAACAGGGAAGGACGGAAGGATTCCTGACGAGCCTGGGTGCCCGGTGCAGCGGGCGGCAGAAACGAGGCACGCTTGGTGCTCAGAGAGCAGAGCTGTCGCAGCATCCTCCTGGGACCCGCCGAGGACCATGCGCACGGCCACCGGCTTCTGCAAGCGTCCACGTGAGCTCTGCCTTCCAGCACTCCAGCAATGGACCTTCTAAGCAGGTTTTGTGGTTCAGTGTAACAGTTAAAAATAGATTGTGTATCAAAAAAAATACACTCTGAAACAATAAAAGGCTGCATGTCACTGCATGTATCATTACTTCAATAAAACTGCCGTCAAGCTTATAGCAAGAGGTCTGCATCTTCTTCACCGGCTTTGTGAATACCAGAAAAGCAATCTTTTGAAAGCTATTGAAAAGATTCCTCTCTCACCTCTCTTCACTTTTTTTTTCTTTTTTTTTTTTTTGAAAGGATATGTGCTTTGCTATTCTTGAAGCTGCCACTGATGGTTAATACAAAGTTCTGTTACCTGACTATATTTTCAGAAGCATACGTACCCCTCTCTTCCTCAAGTACTGAAAAAAACCACCACTGATGAAAACTCACCAAAAAAACTGAGCTGGAAACTCTTCTACTAGCTCATCAAATACCACAATCATCGTAAGAAGGGATCAGGACAAAGAAGGAACAGTATCGTGTCTTCAGCACCTCTCGCAATAACGCTGAATTGCAATTTTTCAAGTCACTTCTGCTCAACAGTGGCAATACATTCAAAAACAAAAGAATTTAGTATAATACATAAGTTTGCAGTAATAGGCTGTTAATCCATTTTTAAAAGTCCAGGTGGAATCTGCGCTTTGTTTCAGTACTTAAAACCTACTGAATTGTAAAATGCATTTCTGCATTGTCCCATAAACTCTTACACAGTTCACCCAACTGGCTTTTAAGAGAATCACTGCTCGGGTTCAGCCATCTCCCGGAGCAGCAGCCGGAACGGTGCCGAAGGGAGAAGCGCTACTCATCGAAAGGCAGCCTGTGCTTGCAGGTGGGTTCAGAAGCTCTCCTGTGGTGCTCATTTCTGGTTTCGTTCCAGCTTTTCTTCATCGGAGTTAGATGAGGGGCAACCACATCACCGTCCTATTGGCAAGTCAGACAACATTAAGGATAGCACATTCGCTTTGCTTTTTAGCCTAAAGCAGGGGAGAAGCAGCTCAATATCAGAATTAATAGGGGGAAAAAAAAATCCAAGGCCCTAGAAGCATTGCAAATTAACAAAGATTGAAGAGCGAGCATCCCGGAGATGGAAACTGCTGTGGTCAGTGATAGCAGCTGGTGGGGAGGGTTAAAAAAAAAAAAAAAAATCACCCACCTATCTGAGAAACCTTCACTAGATGTTCACCTCTTCCTAAATTATTACCAGCATATCTGGGAAGCTCAGCAGGCTTGTGCTCCGGGCACTAGTATACCCACCAGAAATGTCATGTGTGTGTACCTATCTATCCATAGCTGTGGGGGGGTATGCACACATCACATATACGCATACACACACACAGCTCAGTCAGAGCGCGGTGCTGATAACACCGAGGTCGTGGGTTCGATCCCCGCTCGGTCCCCATGTGCTGCCTGATCTAGTTGAGAGGCGTCCCTGCCCATGACAGGGAGGTTGGATCAAATGATCTCTGAGGTCCCTTCCAGCCCAGGCCTTCCAGGATTCTATGATACACACACACACACATACGTGTTTTCTCCCGCATTTGCCACAACGTCTCATTTACAATAGGTGCAACCTCCCAGCTGCAGGTGCCTTGGCTGTGCCTTTCGCTGTCTGAAAGTATAAACCCCTGGCAGGACAGCTGGGATGCTCCGAGGCAGCGGCGCTCACCCTCGGCAGACAGGGACGATAACCGAGTGCTCCGACACCAACACAGACAAGAGAGAAATAAACTCCTTAAGCTTAGAAACAAGCCAGTGAGATGCACGTTGCTACATCCCACAACACAGCAGGGTCTGCAAGGTGGATATGCCTGAACTAGAAGAATGTGCTTAGAGGAAACGAGCACACTCTACAAGCAGAGGAATTCTGTTGCTTGATCCACTTGGAACAAGCTCTTCTGAAACTAACTGCTCGCGAAAGACACACACCAGAAGCACGATCTGAGAATGAGCCTTAAGCTGCCCACGCCTACGGCTCCAGCCCATACAAC